AGATACTATATTCTATAGTATTAATAGTTCTATTAAGTTATATAGTATCTATACTATTAAATATAGTATCTAGAATAGTAGAGAGAAATAGAAACTCTACTACTCTATCTTTATTATAGTAGATAGTTCCTTTAATATAATTCTAGATATACTATAGCTTAAAAAATATAATCTAAAATTAGACTTTATTAAGAAGATAGCTAGCTAGTATATAAACCTACCTTAATAGAAACTAGTATAGCTTATTAATAATAAATAGTTCTAGAAGAATTATAAAAATATAATCTCTACTATCTATATACTCTTACTTATATAAAATAGTAAGCTTAGTATTAAAATAGATAAAAACCTACTATATTAGTAATTAATTCTTCTAAACTACTCTAATACTAATCTACTAACCTTACTATTAATCTTAAAGATAGCTAATAACCTCTATATAGATCTATCTACTCTCTTTTAGAACCTAAACTATAAGTTCTTTAAGAATATATTAAAAAGAACCTTACGTAAGAATAGATTAGACCTAGTATATCTCTAGTTAGAGCTCTAATTCTCTTTATAAAGAAGAAGAATAGAAGCTTCTATCTATATATTTATTAGGACTTAGTCTTAGGTATAACCCAATCTATATATACCTTAGCTAACATAGTTAGGAGATAGCGTGAAGGGTAGTAAACGGTTATATACTAGATAGATTAGCGTCTCTTTATATATATACTCTTAGATTCCTACTAAAAGAGTTTAGTAGTAATTTATTCTATAATAGAATATACTCTATTATTCTATCTAACTATACTACTATCTAATAACTCTATTCTTATATTTAAATTACTCTCTATATAGTACTATAGTTAAGATAGTCTAACTAGAACTAAGTATAAGGATTATAGACGTAGGATAGTAGTCTAATAGATTATAGAAGGATTTAGAAATATATTTAAAAGGATAGTCTACTCTTATAACGAGGTTAATTTCTAAAGAGTAGAAATTAAGTATATATAGTCTACTTATATAGTAGTCTTACTTAATCTAGCTAACTTAATCTAGGTCTATCTATTATAGACTATACTAGACTATAGTAGTCTAGTTAAGTCTATTCTAGTATTAGCTCTAATAATATCCTTCTTCTTTTTATACTTCGCTCTAAAGTACTTAGCTATATATAAATCTATAATTCTATAAGCGTTATATTTATATATATATCTAATTAAATCTATATAATATTATTAATAGCCTTTATATTAGTAAACTTAAACTCTAGTTTACTTTTATTTATATATATGCTTATCCCTTACTTCCTATCTACTACCTTAGAGATAGCTCTATAGGTTATATAACCGCTATATTAACTAAGCTTATATTTAACTCTCTTATTCTAAATTTTCTTCTTTAGTATATCTATCTTACTCTTAAGATAAGTTATTAATTTATATATTATCTCCTTTAGTTTAGATCTATTTAGATCTAGAGTAGTCTATTCTTATTAGAGCTAGTCCTATATAATCTATTTATATTATTATAGTTACTAATTTAGCTTCTTTAATCGCCCTTAAGACTAAATAAGTATTCTACTCTTAGATCTCTAGCTAATATATATATATAGATATCTAATACTAGTTCTATTTCTAAGTCTATCTTCTTCTCTTATAAGACTCGCTCTAAAGGAATTATCTCTACCCTAGCTATACTAGCTAAAAATTCTACTTATTATAGTAGTATAAAGATATACTCTAAGTTAGAGAAGAAGATAGCTAAGACTACTACTACTATTACTACTAATATAGCTACTAGTTACTCTAATCTAGATAATTCTAGTACTAGTATTACGGAAGAGGTAGCTATAAAGTCTACCTTTATCTACTCGCGCTATCTATCTACTCTATCTTCTTAAGAGAATAAAGAAGATCTTATTATAGATAATAATTAAGAGTTTATACCTTCGCCACCCTACTCTAAATACTATTTCTCTTTTTAGTCTAATATAGACTAACTTAGTTACTCTAGGTTCTTTTAGAACCTTAATATTTACTCTAAATCTAGCCCTAGTAATAATAAGGCCTAGGTTACTAAAGGTACTAAATATAGTTATAGTTTATACTATAGAAAAATAGTAAACTATAGCTTAATATACTTTAAGTATATTAAGACTTATATAACTAGCTCTAAATATCTCTTCCGCTCTAACTCTAGTATTAGCTACTACTCTACTAACTATAATAGACCTATATATCTAATCTTTAAGCTCCCTATCTACTACTACTACTATACTATTCTTAGTAAAGTTTATCTTTAGATAAGTCTATTAGACTATTTTAGTCTAGAGTAATCTAAAGTTATCTATACTAATATATTTGGCCAGGTGGCGTAGTGGTAGTATACTACGTTACTAGAAGCGTTTGTTATCTAACGTCGTGGGTTCGAATCCTATAACGGCCACCTTTTCATACACTAGTTTTCGCACACTCTGTTAAAAAGTATATAGGGCTAAGCGAGCACGTGACGTGAAGGTTACCATTATA